TGTGTAGCCTATTTGCATATTTAACATACATTTGCATACCGTGCATACGGTTGTGTATGTTTGTGTAGTATATTTGCATATTTTACATATATTTGCAGGTGTTTTTAAATTGTACATATGGTTGAGTGTGTCTGTATAGTCTATTTGCATGTTTTACATATATTAACAAATATTTGAATATTCTGCGTGTTTTGCATATCTTTCCATGGTATTCTTCCCGGGGGGTCATTATTTGCAGATAGTTCTCTTCTGGGTTCTGGTCCTCTATGTGCCTGTATTTGCATATATTTGCATTGTGAGCTCTGTCCCGCTAGTTGTATATTTTTGCACTGATACCTTATTCTTCTATTTGCATAGCTGGCTCTATTCGCGATGCAGCTCTATTTGCATACATTCGCATATTGTGCATATATTTACATATATTTGCATGGTTGGTGCCATTCCTTTATTGCTTGTAGTCGCATGCGTCTGCTTGCTCTAGGTCTGTGTGCGTGTATTTGCATTTCTTTGCATATAAGTTACTGTTCGCTTCCTCCTGCGTGCGCATTTCTTTGCAAATCATTTCATTGGTGGGTCACGTTCCTCCATGTGCACATATTAGCATATTTCTGGAACTGTTTACAAAGAATTGCATACCTTCCCTTTTTGGCTTGCCCCTCCCCATCCATATATTAGCATAGATAACATATATTTGCATATATTTTCATCAATGGCTTTATCCCTCCATATACATAAATATGCAGATTTTGCATCTATTTGTATACGACCCATTACATTTGCATATAATATAATTGCCGCCTTTAACCCGGTGAGTGCATATATTTCTTTGCATATATTATCATGTGGGTCCATTGATACTGGTTTTGTTAACCTAGCTGCATCTGTATGAATATCCCAGAATTAAAACGATCCAGTTTTAATATAGAGTAACAGGTATTTGCGTATCTGCCTGTAACTATATGCTAAGCTGGCCGCAGTGGGCCAATATTTCCAAATTCTCCGCGTAGCTTCGTTTGGGGCACTCATGTCAGTGGTATTATTTGCGTGCTTAAGATTAAGCGTGTTTATGTGTTTGCAGGTGTTAACAGCGGTGGCTCCCCACCCCAGAGGTGGCTGCATCTCAACAGTGGGTGAGGGATCCCTGAATAAACCGCGGTGCCATTCCAGAGGTAGCTGCATCTCCGCATCGGGCAACAGATCCCTGTATAAATAGAACAGGAGTACTTGGGTGTCTCCACCCCAGAGCTGGCTCCATCTCAGCATCGGGCAACAGATCCCTGTATAAATAGGTGTCTCCACCCCAGAGCTGACTGCATCTCAGCATCGGGCAACAGATCCCTGTATAAATAGGTGTCTCCACCCCAGAGCTGGCTCCATCTCACCACCAAGCAAGGGATCCTTGTCTAAACAGGTGCCCCACCCCAGAGCTGGCTGCATCTCAGCAGCAGGTGCGGGATCTCTGCAGCTTTAAATTTTATTAGAGAATATTTAAAAGAATAAACGATACAGAAAATTTGAAGCATTA